TGGTTTCGTTCAGTTCCCTGCATGGGGGGTGGGGGGAGGTAATGAGAAATGTAACTTCCCAGTATAGAAATTGCACACATTGAGGGGGAAATCTGTGGGTTTCGTGCAGAATACATAGGGCTCTTTTTGTAGCAGGAACTTGCACACCTTGAGGGGGAAATCTGTGGGTTTTGTGCAGAATACATAATTATGACCAGGCTTACAGAGCTCTTCTTACAGGGGTTCCTGTAAGCTCTTGGAGGATTGGCTACATTAGGGGTGTGTTGCCTAATATGCAAAGGAATTCCTGCTACAAAAAGAGCCCTGATATGACCTACCTCCTTTTGCATAGCGTTTTGGTAGACACCACCTTCTTCTGTGTATTATGGTAAAATACCTAAGGGCATCACTGCGACTGATCTGTGCAGTGAGTGAGCTACCCCATAGGTTTGTCAAAGCAAAATCCTTTGGTGCTGAGCCGGTAGACAGTCACTTTTGTTGTTCCGCGTTAGCCTCCGAAGTAAGATACAACTCCAGTTGAATAAATGTGGTTGGAAGTATACATCTTGAGTAAGCAATATGCCACCTAAATTTAGTTGTAAATGTCTAGTCCAGGGGTGTCAAACATGTGGCCCGGGGACTGGATGAGGCCCCCGGAGGGCTTCTATCGGGCCCGCAGTGGAACTGGCTGTCTTCTGCTGCTGCTTCCAGTTCTGCTGCTGCTGTGCCATCGTAGGTTTGCAGCTTACAGAGACACACCTGAACAGCATACTCAGGATTGCAACAGCACAGACATTTTGATGTAATAATTCAGAGCAAGAGGTGTCACTTATCAGACACTGTTAAATAAACAAAATATTGCAAGAGTGCTGATGTTTTAAGCATGTTTTTATTTTAAGTAAACAAAACCCTTTGTTAGTTGCTGTAGATTTTCCGGGTTGTATGGCAGTATTCAGACCCACCAGAAAGATACAACAGATGCTACGATCGGCAAAAGACGGAAGAGACCCCCTCACTTCTGCAGGAGTGTACCGCATGCAGTTGTGGACAAGTTTACATCGGCACCACACAGCTTGGCATTCAGACAAGAATAAAAGAACATGAAAGACACTGCAGACTTGGCCAACCTGAAAAATCAGCAGTGGCTGAACATAAACAGGACACAGTATTTTGTTCCAAGACACTGAAAGGCTGGACAACACTTCCAATTACCATGTCAAATTACACAGGGAAGCCGTGGAAATTCATAAACATAAACACAATTTCAACAGGAAAGAAGAGAGTTTAAAAGTAAATAGGGCATGGTTTCCTGTCCTGAAAAACACAAAAGGCTCTACATCTGACAACAGCACTACAGATAAGATTAGAATTCAAACAGCCAATCCACATACAAAATAACCTCCTCAGGAAACAATCCATATACAAAAGAACCTCCTCAGGAAAGCTCCTCTATTAGCATGTTCATCACAGCCTGGGGAACTCCTACAAGATAATGACTCAGCCCTACCCCACCTTCCTGAGTAGAGATAAATTACCTGCCTACCGTTTTTCTTCTCACCTTTACACAGAGAGTCCTCCATCTTTCTGTGTTACACCTCTGAGGAGACCAGTCATACCTGCTGGCGAAACGTCAGGTCCTACAGTGCCAAGACCACGGCCACACAACCCGGAAAATCTACGGCAACTAATGAACTCCGGCCATGAAAGCCTTCGACAACTTATAAAAACCTTTGTGTTTGTGTCCTTAGTCAAGTTTATCTCTCCGCACACACGGCCCGGCCGAACGAGGTCTCATTTATGTCAGATCTGGCCCTCATAGCAAATGAATTCGACACCCCTGGTCTAGTCTAACTTTCCCTCTAGTTGAGCATCCACTTCCGTTCCTGACTGTAATAAAGATTCGGAAAGATGTTTTGTCACCCTGAAACAAAAGTATGGTTTTAAGATACTTTTTAAATGAAATGGGTACAGAAAGTTATTTCCCCCACTAGCTGTTCAGCAGATACTTGAATCTCAAGACAGTGGAGCTCAGCCGCTTGACCACCTGCATGTGTACTGCTTTGTAGAGAGCGGGCTTTGGTTACTGGCCAAGCTTTTCTTTAGTTGCCTAATCCTTCCAAGTTGATGCTGAGTTGGATACGGCGATCTGTCAGGAGTGTGGATTCTTTTGTCCCATTCCTTTTCTTCCTGGGAGTCTCTTCCCAGCCCCAGAAAGCTGACTCCTGGGTCTGCAGTGGAGAGGAGAAAGCAGGCCAGGGTCGGTCGCTCCCTTTTCTGTCAAACGCAGCTGCACAGCAAAAACCAAACACACACCCTGGCGGCTGCCAACCCTTGCTGACAGCTCACGGGATCCAACTCTCACTGATCTGACCCTGCCCTGTATTGCTGTACTGCTGACTGGAAGCGCCCGCAAAATACGAAACTCACGGCGAATGCTGTATCTTCCCTTAAAGCCTGAAAACTGTTTTTAGGTATGGGGGAGAGCAACTGCTGCTGGAGTCGGAAGCCCCTGCTGCACAGGGAGACCATGCTGGCGGCGGCGGCCGTGTACAGGGGTAAGCCCAGCCCGAGCTTGCGGCTCAGACGGTCATTCGTCGTCTCACTGCGAGATGTGCAGCTTCGGTGAAGGCGGCGCAATTTGGAGGGGCAGTTGGCTCGGAAGCAACGCTCCCTCTAAGCCGCGGAGTCTTGTGAGCAAAAATTCTACTTTGTGAGGTCCTGGCATTACAGTTAGGAGCGAGCGATTTGGCTACTGCATCAATTAGTTTGCTCTGGACCCTGGAGCCCTCCTTCCTGAGCGAAGACAAAAATGTGTGAGCCGGAGGCTAAACAACTGTGAGCTAGCTCACACTAACTCAGCTTAGAGGGAACGCTGCTCAGGTGTTCACGTCCCGCGGTTGGGTTGATCAGTCCTGTGCTTCCGGACTGGCTGTACCCGTCCCTTGCCTTTCTCCTCCCCCTGGTTCCCCGCAGCCCTTGCAGATCCAGTCTCAGCACATATTTGTTGGCCTGGAGGGCCGTACCCAGCGGTTTCTCCTTAGCAGGCAAATACTTTGCTCCTTGCCAATACCGGAAGGGGCGTGTATAGGGGAAATGTGGGATACCAGCTTGACTGTGACGTGTGAAAAACAAGAGGGGTCACCATGTTAGCCTAGTGTTCCCTCTAAGCTGAGTTAGTGTGAGCTAGCTCACAGTTTTCTAGCCTCCGGCTCACACATTTTGTCTTCGCTCAGGAAGGATGGGGCTCCAGAGCAAACTATTTTATGCAGTAGTCGAATCGCTCACTTGCAACTTCAGTGCCAGCATCTCACAAATTAGAATTTTTGCTCACAAGACTCCACCCCTTAGAGGGAGCATTGTTTGGTAGCCCCTGAAAGTCTAACAAAATTTGTGGTATGAGCAGTCGTGAGCCGCATCTAAAGAAGCGAGTCGTGACTCACGAAGGCTCATACCCTGCCACAAACTTTGTTAGTCTTTCAGTGTGAAATCCAGGTTTGCCTGCCTGCTCTTCAGATAGTCATTGATGCATTCCCATGGCCTTGCCCACCTTTCCCTCAACTGCAAGGGCCTTTAACTTCCCAAAGGTGGCAAGTTAAAGGCCCTCTCCTTTGGCCACATGGTCAGAGTTACATTTCGGGGGGGGTGATTTTGGCCTAAAGGTTTTCACACTTCTGAATTGCTGCTCCGTGCAGCCGAAGCCACAAAGTTGTCGCTTTTCTTGGTCCCCAAGGAGGGCAGTGGCGTTACTGACCAAGAAGGTGTCGCTTGCTGCTTTCAAGCCAGTTTGGCGTAGTGTTTAAGAGCGGAGGACTCTAATCTGGGAGAACCGAGTTGGATTCCCCATTCCTCCACATGCAGCTGCTGGTGTGACTACCTTGGGTCAGTCGCAAGTTCTTTCAGAGCTCTTCTCTCACGGGCAGTTCTCAAAAGAGCTCTCTCGGCCCCACCTACCTCACAGGGTGTCTGTTGTGGGGAGGGGGAGGGAACGGAGTTTGTAAGCTGCTCTGAGACTCCTTTGGGTAGTGAAGGGCCATGGGGTATACATCCAATCTCTTTTCCTTGAGAGCCGCATGGAGCCATCGGCTTGATGTTGGGAGTACAGCTTGTCAGTATCCAGTAGAAGTAATTTAACTAACAACCCCCCTTCCATGGCCTTTCAAGAGGCTCCACTTGAGCCTTACGGTCTGTTTAACGGCACTGTTAGAATAAACGTTTTGAGTCCAGCGGCACCTTTGAGACCCACAAAGTTTTATTCTGAGTATAAGCTTTTGTGCACACGGACACTTCTTCAGACGCCATACACACAAAAGCTGATGCCCAGAATGAAACCTTGTTGGTCTTAAAGATGCCTGACTGGACTTAAACTTTGTTCCACAGCTTCAGAGCAACACGACGACCCACCTGAATCTACCTGCACAGATAGTCAGCTGAAGTTTTAAAAGAAGACGCTTCCTGTTCTGTTTAGCCACGTCCCTTCCCAGTATCCGTTACTGGCCCATTTCTCTGGTTCTGCTGCTGTTTGCTTATGTGCTTTTATTGAATTTTTTTTTAAATTTTAAATGTCATTTTTAATTGCTTCAATGTGTGCTGCCCTGGGGACCCTGGCTGGATGGAAAGGCCGTGTAAACATGTTTAAAATAAAAATAAATAAATGCTATCGTGGGTTAAGTTTGTGTGTGTGGTATGGTTTTGCTGTTATGTAATGGATATGTTTCTTTATTAGAAATGTATGGGAATGATGACGGGACAGTTCCTGCCACCTTTCAGATCTATTACATGATCGGATGGAAGTTTCATGAGTCACAGGTAATGTGTGCCCCCCCCTGCCCCCGCTGTTATACATGGGGTGAATCTAGGGGTTATTTCGTAGAAAAAGGGGTGCAGGAGCTCATTAGCATAACTCATTAGCATAACTCATTTGCATGTGCCACACCCCCTGACATCACAGGAAGTGTGTCAGAAGGCAACACCCACTGCTCAGGCTCCACTGGACTGTTTTGGGTTCCTAGCTATGGGGGGGGGGGCGGGAACGTGCAGATCTGTCCTTGCAGAGGAGGGAGAGCTTGTACCTGAATAAAACTTGGTCTTAAGGGTGCCACGGGACTGTTTTGGATTGCTAGCTATTTGGGGGTGGGGGGGGACGTGCAGATCTGTCCTTACAGAGGAGGAAGAGCTTGTACCTGAAGGTGGGCCGGGGGGGCCTCTGCAACTTTTACCTGGGTGCTTCTTGCTCCTCATGACCCTACTGAGGGCTTTTCTCATTAGCTGTTGGTAAAGTGACCTCGAGTCTGGGGTTTTCAAGGGTCTCTGTGGTCCTGAGGAAAGATTTGAACTGAATTCTGGAACTCAAACAAAATATGATTTATTGATGTAGGAACAAAAATGAGTTGCTGGTTAACGGTAACTGTTATGGGGAAGAGCAACTGGTAAAATAAACTGGCAAGGTATCACACACAGTCTTTTGATCATCCGATCCCTCTCTTGACAGGAATCACTCAGTGAGTAGCCACACTGGCAAAGCTCTTTGTATTAATTCTCTTTCTTTACTTTAGTGTCTCACAGGCCCTTCTCATATCTCCTCCACACTTAAACTTGTAAATACATATATATTGACTTCTTTAAATCTCCACACAGAACTGAATCATCTCACTCTCTCTCAGACTCACTGACTGAATCACTCTAACTGATTTTTCTAACTGACTTCTCTACTCAGATTCCCCCAAACTGACTTCAAGACACACACCTTCACTTCAAACAACCCCTCCCACTCTCAGTCATCCTCCAGTCACAACACAGTTGTCTCTCTCAATCACCCTACTCTACTAACACTGCCCTCCAACCAAACATTTAAAGGAACAAACACACAGTAAAACAAGGAATCATTACACATACATTGTACGTTAAATTTCCAGGGGCTTTTGTTCTAGAAGCACTGATGTAAACAAGTGTATGGTAACTAAATGAAATGATGGTTTCTGTCCTTCCAGGCGCGACCAGCCCAGAGAGGTTCTGCGACAGTATCATTCGGAGACCTTAAAAAGATTAATGAGTCTGTTGTGGGAAGGAAAAAACTTTGAGACATGGTGTCACGGTCTTAGAGGTGCCACACTCTTAACCCATCACTGCTCTACAATAGTCAGTTTTGAAAATAGTGCCACATGTACATTTCCTGATATGTCGACTCGTGACCTGGAAATAATACACAACACTGGACTTTTTCTCTTCCTTTGCTGGTCGTGCTGATGTCTGTAAATTGTGTGGATTTTATTCTGTAAAGCTTCAGCCAAATAAAATCACAGTATTTTCTGGTTCTGTGATGAGGAACTGGTCTACAATTCTGATAATGTGACAAGAAATAATGTGTTAGCTTTGGGGCCAGATTTTGCGGTGGAATGAAAGGGGAGAGGTGACTCTCAAAATCTCACACACACACACCCAAATCTTGATGGCATCTAGGGTGCTACTGCGCTCAAATCTAGCTTCTGGAAGGATGCAAGGAATTATTCTGCGCTAAGTCAGGGAGAGTCCTGAAACACCCCCGTGCATATTGGGAATATAACACCCGGCCCTCTTCCAACTTCTGTGCTGCCGGTCAGGGTAACTGCCACCAGTGTTCCCTCTAAGCTGAGTTAGTGTGAGCCAGCTCACAGTTTTTTAGCCCCCGGCTCACAGTTTTTTGTCTTCGCTCAGGAAGTGAGGGCTCCAGAGCAACTAATCTATACAGTACCCAAATGGCTTGCTCACAACTTCAATGCCAGCAGCTCACCAAGTAGAATTTTTGCTCACAAGACTCCACAGCCTAGAGGGAGGACTGACCGCCACAACTTTATCACAACGGGTTTCTTCTCAAACTTTGCAACCCTGTCTCTTCCGTGACTATTACTTCTTTGTGGTTGAGGCTTCTTTCCAGAGCTTCAGCATCCTGAGGGCTCTTTTGGTCCCTTGTCCTTTCCGAAATTGCTGATGAGTAATAAATACTATTTAGAATTAGATAATAAAATAGCCAGTAGGAATACAACTGCCAGCCAACTCAAATAGACAGCTGAAATTGACTTAAGACATCAGATGCTGCCTTAGCTGTGCAGTCCTCTGAAAGGTAGCGTGCTGGTAGATCTTATCCATGGCGACTGAGGGGGACCTCCACATTCAGAGGCACTAATCCTCTGAATCCCAGAGCCAGGAGGCAATGTCAGGGGAAGGCCTCGGCCTCTGTCCCCTGTTGTTGGCCCTCCAGAGGAACTGGCTGGCCCCTGTGTGAGACCGGAGGCTGGACTGGATGGACCCTCACTGGTCTGATCCAGCAGGGCACTTCTGAGGTTCTTCTCAGGGGAAGGCCTCGGCCTCTGTCCCCTGTTGTTGGCCCTCCAGAGGAACTGGCTGGCCCCTGTGTGAGACCGGAGGCTGGACTGGATGGACCCTCACTGGTCTGATCCAGCAGGGCACTTCTGAGGTTCTTCTCAGGGGAAGGCCTCGGCCTCTGTCCCCTGTTGTTGGCCCTCCAGAGGAACTGGCTGGCCCCTGTGTGAGACCGGAGGCTGGACTGGATGGATCTTCACTGGTTTGATCCAGCAGGGCTCTTCTGACGTTCTTCTGAAGGCCTCGGCCTCTCTGCCCTGTTTGTTGGCCCTCCAGAGGAACTGGCTGGCCACTGTGTGAGACCGGAGGCTGGACTGGATGGATCTTCACTGGTTTGATCCAGCAGGGCACTTCTGAGGTTCTTATCAGGGGAAGGCCTTGGCCTCTCTGCCCTGTTGCTGGCCCTCCAGAGGAACTGGCTGGCCCCTGTGTGAGACAGGAGGCTGGACTGGATGGATCTTCACTGGTTTGATCCAGCAGGGCTCTTCTGACGTTCTTCTGAAGGCCTCGGCCTCTCTGCCCTGTTGCTGGCCCTCCAGAGGAACTGGCTGGCCCCTGTGTGAGACCGGAGGCTGGACTGGATGGACCTTCACTGGTCTGATCCAGCAGGGCTCTTGAATTCCATGGCACTAAGGTGGTAAGGCTGAGGTCCTCTTAAGCAGAGCCTTTTCAGCAATTTCAAGAACAAAGAGTCCAAAAGTGGCTGGGGCTAGGTCAAAAACTCTGAACTTCAGACAGTGGTGGCATCCCCAGGATAAGCGGCCATGTACTCACCAGCAGCAGAGAGGGTTTCTGGTCCCCAGAAAGACAAAGAAGGGATGGGTCCACTTTAGGCAGGCTTTTCCCCTTTAACAAATCCCAGCCACTTTGGTGTGGCCTTTTCTGGACAGGTGTTGCCCAATTCTAGCCTCCTCGGGGTAGGCCGGACTCTAGGTGGGGCCTGGAGATCTCCCAGAAGTACAACTGGTCTCCTGACAACAGAGATCGGGGTTCCCTGGGAGGACATGGCTGCTTTGGAGGGCGGGCTGTGTGGTGGTATAACCGGCGGAGATCAGGGCCCCTCCTCGAGGCTCTACCCCCAGATCTACAGAGTTTCTCAGCCCAGAGTTGGCAACCTTGGTGTAGGCACAGCATGTGAGCCTGAAGATCTGAGACTGAAGAATGTATATATATTTAGATCAGGGGTGTCAAACATAAGGCCCGGGGGCCGGAACAAGCCCATCCAGGGTTCTTATGCGGCCAGTGAGCAACTAGTGCAAGGGAGGGAACAGGAGACTGCTTGGGGGGGGAGTGGGCGGAGCCACTCCGATTGTGGCTTCAGCATGGCGGAACAACCTTGTCTGCAGCAGTCAAGCAGCATGGGAGCGTCTGCCCAGTGCTGCACCGCTGGCTCGCCGGTCCACCCGTGTGGGTTTTTCTTGGCACCCCCCTCCCAGCCCATGGGGCCTTGCAGTGAGGACACAACAACTCGGAACTTACCGGCTGCTGTATCTTATACAGCTTATATCTCCGGTACCCGGCATTACGTTATATGGCACACGTGGCGCAGCTCGACAAGGTCTCATTTATGACAGATCCGGCCCTCGTAACAAATGAGCTCGATACCTCTGTTTTAGATAACCTAAAAAAACAGTCTCTTGTACCATCAGTCTTTAGTTTTGCCTACTGTTTATTAACAGTATAAGTAAAAGAACAATGAATAGCATCAAAAACAGATCCCAGTGCAGTCTTAGTAGTCTGTCCAGTCCTGGCAGGTTCCAGTTTTCAGCAAGCTGTTGCAAAAGGGGGGGGGGAGAGAAAGCTTTTAAAAAAAGATCAGCTTCGTTTATTAAGTGGGGCTGGCGTACCCTGGGGGGGGCGGGGGCACACTATGTTCTTTCTCTCTGGCTACTTCTGTACCCGGTGGCTTTTCTTCTTTGCTTGGGCCACAAGAAGAGCTTTATGGGGACTCAGAAATCTGTATCCCAGACTCCTCTGCCCTTGTCCAGTGGCTAACGTCTAAAGTTGTGCATGGGAGAGTCTATTCATCACCATTCCATCCTGCTCTTTTTTCCTTTCCAAACTCCAGTCTGTACAGAAGTCCCAGGAACTGTCAACTCCTTTCCCCATCTTGACATGATAGCAAGGACGTGTCCCTTTTTAATTACAAGATACATCCTTCCTTTAATACTGGTCCCTAAATCTCTGCCTTAATGTTCAGGTAATCGCTTGACCACGCTGGGTTTGAACCAAACCAGCTTCTCCACTGCAAAGGAAGGGGTGCCCTTTGACCACCAAAAAGTCTTTGCTGGGGATCGTGTAACCCGTGGGTCCGTCAAGACGTTACAAAGTCCTTGTGCTTGTTAGGGAACAACACAGAGACCAAAAATTGTCTCTTCTTCCTCCCTCCCTCCCACTCCTCTCTCCCCATCTATTTGCTTTCTTTCCACCTCTTTCTCTGTCTTTCTCTTTTTCTGCCTCTCTGTCTTTTTCTAGTCTTTCTTTCTGTCTTAGTCTCTTTCTCTGTGTCTTTCTGGTAATTAAGGGAAGAGATACTATATTTGAATCGTTTCTGTAAGTAATTTAAAAAAAAAAGTCGGCCCACTCACAGTTTTATAGCTAGCACCATTTTTGGCTCACACAGAGAAATTTTTGCTCACGGGACTGCACACCTTAGGGGGAACATTGTCCTTAAATATAGCTAATCTAATCCAGCCATTGATAAAGGCAGCCTAACATCTGATTCACCCAGGATGGGCCATCAGGAGGACATTTAAACCCATCATTCGCTCCTGGTTCTTTGTCAAGATGCGAAGACCGTCCAATGATCACCCTACCTCAGAATGTCAAGTATTTCTCCTCCTAATCTTCCTGCCAGGTTTTGACAGCAGTTACCGTCAAACTGCCCAGTCAAATTGAAGCGTCATATCTTGGACCAGTGTTCCCTCTAAGCTGAGTTAGTGTGAGCCAGCTCACAGTTTTTTAGCCGCCGGCTCACACACTTTTGTCTTAGCTCAGGAAGGAGGGCTCCAGAGCAAACTGATGTACGTGGCAGCCAAATTGCTCGCTCACAACTTTAATGCCAGGAAGTCAGAAAGTAGGATTTTTGCTCACAAGACTCCAAGAGGGAGCATTGTCTTGGACTAGCCATGTTCCTGGGAAAGTGGGCTCCCGTGTCTAGCCGTGGGACCCTTCCCCAGAAAAAGACCATCCCAACTCAGTGGAAAGTGTGCCAGGTTTCCCCACAACCTGAACACCCCTTAAACTCTGATGCAGGCGCCTTCCCCCCCCGCCTTCTCACTTTGCTCCTTGGTCCTCTCCATACCAGGATTTCCGGTCATATGTCCCTTCCCCACAACTTCCCAATTTCCTCCCGCCTACCTTTTATAAGCTGAGGAGCTGCGGTGGCTCAAGTGGTTAAGACGCTGAACTGCAGGCTGTGGAAGGTCAGTAGTTCAGCGGTTCAAGACCCGGGTGCCGGAAGACAGGGTGAGCTCCTGTCTCTAGTTCCAGCTTCTGCCAACCTAGCAGTTCGAAAGCAAGAAATTGCAAGTAGATAAATAGGTACTACTTCGGTGGGAAGGTAACAGCGTTCCGTGCGCCTTGGTGTTTAGTCATGCTGGCCACATGACCACGGAAACGTCTTCGGACAGCGCTGGCTCTTCGGCTTTGAAACGGAGATGAGCACCGCAACCCTAGAGTCGGATTCGACTGGCTTTCGAGCAAGGGAACCTTTACCTTTACCTTACCTTTTATAAATGTGCCCGCTTGTTGGGGTGTGTCTGGTTACTCAGGGAATTTGGTCTCAGGTGCCTAGTCTACATTCTTCACATTTTTATTATTTTAATTTTATTTTGTTTACAATAAAGTTATTTGTTTGCATTTAAAACCACTCTTGCTCTCTTTATAATTTTATTGTGGGGCACACCGACCGAGGTCCACCCCGGTACACACGGATCAGTGTCCTGCATTAGTCCTTTCCGGGACCCTTTTAAAGCTGATTTCCCCCTTCTTTGGATCCTGTTTGGGTAACGTCATTAGTAAGAAAGCATTACCCTCCAGTAGCCAATGCTTCCTCTAAACTGTGGAGTCTTGTGAGCAAAAATTCCGCTTTGTGAGCTACTGGCATTAAAGTTGTGAGCGAGCGATTTGGCTGCTGCATAAATGAGTTTGCTCTGAGCTCAGACAAGAAGGTGTGAGCTGGAGGCTAAGAAACTGAGCTAGCTCACACGAACTCATCTTAGAGGGAACACTGCCAGTAGCTCCCAGACAGAGAACAAAAAGAAGAAGAGAAGAAGAGATTGGATTTATACCCCGCCCTTCACTACCCAAAGGTGTCTCAGAGCGGCTTACAAACTCCTTTCCCTCCCCTCCCCACAACAGGCACCCTGGGAGATAGGTGGAGCTGAGAGAGCTCTGACAGAAACTGCTCTTTTTCAAGAACAGCTCTTATCAGAACGATGGCTTGCCCAAGGTCATCCAGCCAGGTGCAAGTGGAGGAGTGGGGAATCAAACCCGGTTCTCCCAGATTAGAGTCCGCGCACTACACCACTACACCAAACTGGCTCTCAAAGCAAGAAGGGTGTGGGTTTTTAATGTGTATCTGGGTCTCTGTTAATAGTTCTGTATTGTGTACATTTTTGCAGTTGCCTTCAACATGCTGCCTTAGAAACATAACCCTGATACCCCATATGCACACATATGCGTCTTCTCGCTCTTTCTTCATCCGGACAGTGCCTGGGGCCATCTCCCTTTCTTTGTTCTCCTTTTCCTTCCTTCCTTCCCCCCCCCCACCCCCAAACCCATTTACTTAAGAAAGCCTTTCAGGAATCCTCCCGGCCTTGCCTGATCCCCCCTTGCTCTTGACCTCTTTTCCCCACCGTTCGCTGTATAGCTTTCGCCCCCTTCTGCTGGAGCCCGCCTAATGGAGAACATAAAGGGACTGTCGCTCCTTTGCGTTGTGTGTCGCTGAGCGCATCGGTATTATGTTAAACCGTAATGTCAGCGACTGTTGTTTCTGCAAGGCCTTTTGCACAGTTAGGAGCACGACACAGTAATAATGTGTGTTCTTATCACAAAATAACAGGACAACTTGTGGGCTGAATTCAGCTCGCTGGCGCTTAATAGGCATCGTCAAGGACGTCCACGGAAGTAATGGTGGGGGAGAGAAAGTCACTTGGAGATCACTCTCGCTGAATAGAGGGAAGCGAGCATGTGACGGGGTACGTTTTTTAAAACGTCAATAAGTTTAGGACGGTGGACGCTGTACCTTCCCCAGGTGTGGGGGTGGGATAGGAAGTCAGAGTTTTAGCATCTAGGGCATTATGCTCTGATGCTCTGTGTTCTTGGTGCTTGGGGGGGGCAGCAGTGGGAGGTCTTCTGGAGTTCTGGCCCCGCTGGTGGACCTCCTGATGGCACTTGGTTTGGCGCCAGCATGTCACATAGAATGTTGGACTGGATGGGCCACTGGCCTGATCCAACATGGCTTCTCTTATGTTCTTATGTCTGGGGCAGTGATGCTCTGTCTTCTTGGTCCTTTGAGGGGTCAACAGTGGGAGGGCTTCTCGAGTTCTGGCCCCATCGGTGGACCTCGATGGCCCCTGGGTTTGGGCCACTGGGTGACACAGAGTGACGGGCCTGATCCAACATGGCTTCTCTTATGTTCTTATGTCTGGGGCAGTGATACTCTGTCTTCTTGGTGCTTGGAGGGGCAACAGTGGGAGGGCTTTTCGAGTTCTGGCCCCATCGGTGGACCTCCTGATGACCTTTGGGTTTGGGCCACTGGGTGACACAGAGTGTTGGACTTGATAGGCCACTGGCCTGATCCAACATGGCTTCTCTTATGTTCTTATGTCTGGGGCAGTGAGGCTCTGTCTTCTTGGTGCTTGGGGGGCAACAGTGGGAGGGCTTCTGATGGACCTTCTGATGGCACCTGGGTTTGGGCCACTGTGTGACACAGAGTGTTGGAATGGGCAGGCCATTGGCCTGATTCAACATGGCTTCTCTTATGTTCTTATGACCACTAGAAGGAGTACAACGTGTCCGGAACGGGGGGGGGGGGAAACCAAGAGGAACACAACAATGCGAGTGCGGGAAAACCCTATGTTTCTCTTTTCTAGGAATGTTGCGTGACTCTCTGGTGTGAAATTTCAGTTAGAAACAGGATTGAAATGTTCGGCTCAGTTCAAATGGTCTGAATTTTAGAACTGGTGTAACAAGACCCTATGTTTGACAACAGTGAAGCATCTCGGGGGGGGGGAGCATTTTCACAAGGAAGTTGACTTGGAACTGGAGGCCCTGAAAACCAACCACAGCCTGAGTTTGTACAAACGTTACTTACAACAAGAAGCTGGAGTTCACTCAGCAGATGGGCAGCTTCTAGTTTAACGCTCGCCAGGAACACCGGTATCAAAGCATCGGAGCTTGTCTTTGCCGCCAGGTTGTACCATCTTCTAGCTAAATGGATATCCTAAAAGTAGGAAGCCGTTTCAGTAGCTGATGCCTCTACAAGAGCCAGTCTGGTGTCGTGGTTAAGTGCGCGGACTCTAATCTGGGAGAACCAGGTTTGATTCCCCATTCCTTCACTTGCAGCTGCTGGATGACCTTGGGCAAGCCACATTTCTCTCAGAGCTGTTCTCTCAAGAGTAGTCCTCAAAAGAGCTCTCTCGGCTGCATCTACCTCACAGGGTGTCTGTTGTGGGGAGGGGAAGGGAAAGGAGATGGGAAGCCGCTCTGAGACTCCCTTGGGTAGTGAAGGGCAGGGTATAAATCCAATCTCCTCCTTCTCCTCCACATGCAGACAGCTGGGTGACCTTGGGCAAGCCACAGTTCTCTCAGAGCTGTTCTCTCAAGAGTAGTCCTCAAAAGAGCTCTCTCGGCCCCGCCTATCTCACAGGCAATGCTCTCTCTAAGCCGTGGAGTCTTGTGAGCAAAAATTCTACTTGGTGAGCTACTGGCATTAAAGTGGTGAGCAAGTGATTTGGCTGCTGCATAAATGAGTTTGCTCTGGAGCCATCTTTCCTAAGCTAAGACAAAAATGTATGAGCCGGTGGCTAAAAAACTGTGAGCCGGCTCACAGTAACTCAGCTTAGAGGGAACACTGCTCACGGGGGGGTGTCTGTTGTGGGGAGGGGAAGGGAAAGGAGTTTGTCAGCCGCTCTGAGACTCCCTTGGGTAGTGAAGGGCTGGAGGGTGTAAACCCAATCTCTTCTTCTTCTTCTACTAAAGTGTCTTAAAGTTATGACGTCTTCCAGCAGACTAACAAGATGCAGTGCTCCCTCTAAGCTGAGTCAGTGTGAGCTAGCGCACAGTTTTTTTAGCCTCCAGCTCACACATTTTTGCCTTTGCTCAGGAAGGAGGGCTCCAGAGCAAACCGATTTATGCCGTAGCCAAATTGCTCGCTCGCAACATTAATGCCAGGAGCTCACAAAATAGAATTTTTGCTCACAGGACTCCACAGCTTAGAGGGAGCCTTGGACAAGAGGTGACCACCGAAATAAAGGAATTTGTGGGCTCTTGAAATTCCAGTGACTGACCCATCAAAGAAAACATTATGGAATTCCTGCAAATGCATTTGGGCATTATGATCTGCTCTGCGTTCTTATGACCGTTACCAGGGGTCTTGTTGTAGAAAAAGAGCTGCCGGAGCTCATTAGCATAACTCATTAGCATAACTTATTTGCATATGCCACGCCCCCTGACATCACCGGAAGTGACAGAAGGCCACACCCCCTGGCATCACCGGAAGTGTGTCAGAAGGCCCGGCTACTTACCCTCCTGCTTCATCCTCATTCCCAAACGGAATGAGGATCGAA